AAAAGAAATCATAAATCAAAGTTTATATTCAAAAACAATGTTTGATCAATAAAGAAAAATTTTCTTTATATAACTTGATCAAACCACTCATAGAATACATTATAAAGCACGAATAGATGATCCATTAGCACAAACACATAAATATCATCATATAAGTGAATTATAATGCCCATATAATCATTTTAGCATCCGGTAAACAATGTTTGGGAATAAACACCCAATAACTCCGGAGGGTTATATAGACATAGTCCTCTCACCAAGATCGAAACAAATAATCATGAAAACAAAAGATTTGATCAATTTAAAAATTTGTTTTCATAATCAAAATATTTTAAGATATAATTTTCAAAAACCAAGAAAAGGAAAAAGTAAGAACACTAAAATTCTTGGTTTAAAATTTAAATTTGTTTTGGTACCCAAGAACTCTTGGTACCAAAAGATTTAGGGACATGACCCCTATCATTAAAGCTCAAAGCCCTAGGGTTATGAACCCTCTTAGGCATGTGTGGTGCACTAACACGGTCAAAGCAATAATCGCTCAAATGACCCTTCCGATTGCAATATGTGCAATAAAAGAGATCCATTTGTTTTTGTGGACCATTAGCTCGTGCACGGGAATCATTTGCAAATAAAGATTTTCTTTTAAAATTATTTTGCAAATGAGAACCATCATTAAACAAAGGTGGTCTACTTGAGAAATTTGGCAAGTTTGAATAATTTTTTAAATCATAACAAAACTTTACCAAATGGCCAAATCTACCACAAATATCACACTTAAACACATGTGGTCTATGAAAAACATTTGGCAAACTAGAATTCTTTTTCATGTCAAAGCAAAACTTTGCCAAATGGCCAAACCGACCACATAGATCACATTTATACACATTAGCATGCTTATGATGGGAATTAGATACATGTGCATGTGTGTATGATGAAGAAGCCTTATGAGATGCACAAGAAGCATTAATCTTAGAAGATTTGTGTGTATCATAGCAAAATTTAGCAATGTGGCCTTTACGACCGCAAATTGAGCATTTGTAAACTTTGCTATACATATGTGCATAGTGAGTGCTTGGTTTTGAAGAGTTAGCACGAGACTTTGCACATAAGTCCATAAGTTTCTTGTTATTAACAATGCATGTGTTAAGAGTTGAATCTAAAGATGAAATGCGATTTTTAATATTATTCAACTCATCATTAAGCATAGAAGCATTGTCAATAGAAGTAGAGCAAATATGATCATTTTTAAATGATGTAAATTTACTTCTAATAGTCTCTACTTCTAACATGGCATCATTCTTCTCATGAATTAAGCTAGCAACATTGGAACTCAAGGTAATATGATCCAATTTTAATTTTTCATTATTTTCTTTAAGGATCACATTATCTTTAGCAATAGTATCAAATTTTGATGCTAGCAATTCATGATCGGATTTTAAATTAACATGCTTGCTTTTAAGATCAATGAAATTATTATGCAACTTAGTGTAGGCATGCATTAACCTATCATATGCACAAGCAAGTTCATCATTAGGTAAATCATTTATGGTTTCGAACTCGCAAACCTCACTAGGGCTATCGCCTAGTGCACGTGTGCATGACGCTCCACATGAACTTGAAGCCGGATCCGCCAAAACTTGTTGGATCGCCTCCAAGTCCCCTTGATGTGCTTCAATTAATTTCCATAAGGTGTAAGCACTATCAACATGAACAAACTTGTTAGACATAGATGAGTTAAAAGCATTTAGCAAATATTCTAACAAAATGTTGTTCATAGTAAACATACGATGATCATTTTTATTCCACTTGGATTTCTCCATAGTGGGCACAATATAGGCATCATCTATAATTTCCCATAAATCAAAGTGTTTAGATTGAACAAAAAGTTTAAATCTAACACACCATTGGGCATAAGGGAAATTATCTAACCTAGGAGCAATATTAATGGCATAACCTAAACCATGCATATCCATAATATAAAAGGCAAGCAAGATACAAATAAAAGCTCAAAATTAGATTAGCACAATAAGCTAACTTGGATCTTTAACTCAAGGCGATTAGACCTTAAATCAAAGAGCACCAAGCTCTGATACCAATTGTTAGACCCTAGAGGGGGGGTGATTAGGGTCTTATGCTAATCTAATCCGATTAAATGCCAATTAAAAATAATTAACAACTATATTCTTGCAAGATAGGTATACAATCTATTATGGGCAAGAATATGCAATATACACAAAGTGATATATCCTATATGATGAAATATATATGAGTATATGAGCAAGGATATATAAACTCAAGGGTAAACAATCTAAACTAGATAGTGGATGATATAGATAATGAGCTAATGACAATGGCGATATAAGATATGAACATAAATATGAATGAACGCCAAAGCACACTTTTTCTAGCTAACCGAAAACTCTACAACACTCACAATGTAACAACAAATGATTTGTTCTCTAATACAGATGAGAACACAATAAAAGCTCACACTCAATGTTACAACTCTCACAACCCTAATATACTATGTATGCAAATACAATAAGCTCAAGTGGGTGTGTGTAACAATGAGATTCAATAAAACTTAACTCAATAAGAACTAGCAATAAAAATTGATATGAAATTCAATAGTAAAAATGCTAGGAAATAGAGTTAAGGAAACTTCTCTATAAACACAAAGAGAGGATGATGAAATGTTGAAGATGAACTCTTCAATAGCTGATTGTAAACTCCTCTTTGTAACAGCAAACCAAAAACAAACTTAAACCAAAACTAAACAGGTTTAAACCCTTGTTTAAAACTTGTTAAAACATTCTCTTAGTCAGCTTGAGAGTTGAAGACAATGGGGTATTTATACCCTCTCACAACTCAGCCAACAAACCAGAGCAAAAGACAAAACAGCCCCAAGGCAACGGTAAAAAAACTAGCCGTTGGAAGCAGAAAAATCACTCGTCGGTCGACCGGAAAATTCGTCGGTCGACCGAAAATTTTCATCGGTCGACCGGACCGGTCGACCGACAGCTTTCTGTCGGCCAGGAAACTTTTGACCTCAGGTTCGGTCGACCGGTGCGGTCGACCGAATACTGATACTCTTCAAAAACTGTTTTGAAAGCTGTACATCTGATTTTGAAACACTGTTTAAAAATATCAAATAAATTCAGAAAAATGTAAAACTTTGGGGAATGATTGTAGACATGATAATAAACATGCTACAATGACTGGTTATCAAAAAGGACTTCCCAAATGAAAAATATCATCATTTTACAAACTAGTCCAAAACATGAAAATATGAGATACTTGAATTTTGATGTTTTGACATAAACCAACTTTTGAAACTTTGTGAAATGTTTTTGTAGACTTAGTAAAACATGTATAAACTGATATTGAAGTCTATAAACTAAGAATACAATATTTTCACAAAATTGCATATTCTATGCAATGTTTTCAAAAACATAATAGAAAATATGAAATATAGAATTTCATATATATAACCATAAAAACTCAAAACATATGTATGTATATATATAACTATATATATGCATAGAAACCAAAACTTATATATATATATACGAAGAAACCAATAAATGTGTGTGTATAGATAATTGAGCTTAGAGTATATAACATACATAATATAAATCATAAACTAAATTACCCAAGCTTGATCTTGATCTTCATTGAAGCTCAACTTGGTACACGTGCGGATGAAGCTTGAACTTGATCTTTAACTTGAATTGTACGTTGCTTCACTCCACAATTCCGCTAACCTCCATTGGATATGATCGTTGAAGCTCTATTCCATCCATCCTCCAACTACGTTGTTTGTCTACAATAAATACGAAAACACAAATACTAGACAAACAACATTAGTGGTAAATTGTTTGTTAAACATCATCAAAACAAGAAGGCCAACAGCGGGGTATCTCATGTTGTGGCTCAAGAGGTGCGTAATCCCCACTCACTCTTTTGAGGCTATTCCCGTAGAGGTCGTGTATCCTGCGGTTTGCTTAGCCCACGGGAAGTCGTATTCTTTGGTGTCGGCGACGATAGCGTGTATCCACCGAGGACTCCGTATGTTGACGGCCCAGTTCTGCCAAGTGTCGACTGTCGACGAAGGGGAAGGGGAAGTTATCAGGACCCCCAATCCCAGAGTGGGGCTGCCATACACATACTTGATGGCGTGGTTTGTATACCACTGCGAGTGTTTGATGAGCGCTCCCGCGACTCTTCAAGGAGACAGGTTTGTTCCTTTCCTTGAGCGTTTGGAGGGGTGCTCTTGGAAGTGTAAAGACATTCCTAATGCGCAGAAGACGCTCTCCCACTTTTTCCACTACAATTTTCGTCGCTTCTTCCCCTACTTCAGTGGAGGAAGATACGGCGAATCTCTTAGGGATGCGCCGACGGCGGACCATCACACGTCTCTTCCTCGTGACGCATTCTGATGGTTGGTAAACAATCGGCCGGGGTATCACATCCTACGCACTGGTTCTGTGTGTTACCTCGAGCTATATATCCCTTGCAGGTTTGCCCGCCAGTTTGGGTATGATCAATTGTACGTGGGCAACGCCAATCCCCGCCTACACTTCGAAGGAGGACTGGTGGACGGAGCTCGTGGATGGTTCTGGACCCATGCTGGTGGCACCCAGGCTCGCTTTGAATTACCCGCGAAGGATCGTGATTTGCATCACACGCTCCTATACTGCCGGTGGTATCGGGGCGCCAGCGCTAATCCCTCTGGTTTCTGGTTCCAGAGCTCATGTCTGACGGAACGCGACCGTCCTCTCAGAGGGTCTCTCCGTTCTTCAAGGCGAAGGGGCCGCCAAACCGCTAGGGAGCTGTTCTCAGAGGATCCAGCTGAGGACACCGAGAGTTTTGACGCCGGTTTAGACGAATCTGAGGCTCCCGAGGTTCGAGTTCCTTCTCCTAGTCCCTCGTTGGATGCCCCTGGCGAACCAAGGGAATCCGGACACCCAAGATCGGTCCAGAGTCCAAGAGTCGGACAGATGGGGACGCCTCTTCTGTCTCCGAGTAGCTCGCTTCTCTCTAAACGTCAACGAGAGACCGCGGCCGAAAGTTCTCGAGCGGAGGCGGTCAAGAAAGCCCGTCGCGATGAGACAGTCGAGACCACCCGAGCGGCGGAAGGTCAGGATAATGTTCCCCAGGTAAATATCCCCGGAACGGCGACATCGGGGTTTGGAGCTGTGCTGCCCGCCTCTCCTACCACATCGGGGGCAGTTCCGGCGATTTCGAAGGATGCTCCTCCTCAATCTGGCATGAGGCCACAGACAGGAGTTCCAGCGGTTTTTGTGTCTGCATCAGGAGGTAATCTTTGCAACAGTACCTTTGATCGCAACGTTGATTTTACACTTTTTGACACTTGTATTGGGCCTATGCAAGTGCAGTTGAGAAAGCGATCTCCATTCCTTCTGACGAAGAGGAGGAGGTTGGAGATGAAGAGGGGCCCATAGGCTCAGGTAAGCGTAGGTTTTAGCATTACTCATTCTTCCGTACCCAACCGTCAACAGGGTCCCTTTCGAGGGGCCTCTGTTAACCCTATTCGTGTGTTTATAGCTGATCCTGCCCATGAGGTTGCTGGCAAAGAGGATCCTACCTCTTGGGCGAGTCGCTCGTCTGGTGAGACGGGCGAATCTGAGGAGGATGATGACGTCTCGGTTCATGAGGCGTTGTCCAGTGAGGAAGAGGTGTTGGCTCGTGAGGATGCGTCCGGCCAAATAGAGAGATCTCCTGCCCCTGCGGAAGCGTCGGCTGGGGATCGTCCATCAGCGCAAGAGTCTCCGTTTCAAAGGGAGGCTTCTACTCCGCAAGTGACCACTCCCTTGTCGGCGGCGGCTGTTGGTGCCGTGACCGCTGCTCCGAGGGCGTCATCGGTCACACCAGCTTTGGCGGCGCCAATCCCTACTTCCACGGTTATGACCACAGGTACTTCGACCGTGATTTCATCAATGGTGGAGGATGCTGCTCTCTCTCCTTTGGAGCGCGAGCGAAGAAGGAGTGCGGCACGGTCTGTGGCTGATTTCCAAGACACTCTAGCCGGCTGCATCAAGCTCGCATTGGAGGAGAGTTGTCCATTCAAGAGTTTCGAAGAGGATCTTGACTACATCGTGTGCTTCTTAATCAAGAGGTTTGGCCACACTGTGGCGAAGCCCTACTTCCAGCGTAAGGAGGAAGTGAAGGAGGCTATTCAACGGTTGCTTGCCCTTCGCGCGAAGAGTTCCACTCTTGTGGACCTTGCATCCGACGAAGTTCGAGCAGTGGTGGAAGAACGCGATCGCCGTCTGAACGAGACCATGACGCTGGAGGCAAGATTGTCAGCAGAGTTAGAGCAGGCCAAGGCTGAGGATGAACGAATGGCCCTCGAGGAGCAGAAGGCCGATAACCACGTTTCTCGCTTGTCTTCGGAGGTAGAGAATCTGAAGCAAGTTATAGCTAAAGCGCAAGCCTCATTGGCCATTCAGGAGAGGGCTCGTAAACAAGCGGTCAAGGAATTGGAAAGCATTGGATCCCGCCGGGCACTGACGGCGAATTCCGTTGGGGAAAAGGATCGAGCTTATAGGGAGGTTAAGGAGACCGTCCAAGACTTGGCCTCTCGCACTGAGGAAGATCTTCGCCAGGAGATCTTAAGGAGGCTAGAGCTTCGTCATGCTAGGGAGATTCGTGAGGCGGAACTGCGGTTGAAAGCCTTGTAATTTGCCTCTTTCTGTCTTTGATTGCCAGTTGTACTAGGACTTCTTTCTATGAATGAAATTATCCTTTCTTTTTTTGGCTACTGTGCATGCTCCATTTTTCTTTTAACATGTGTTAGCTAGAGCGTTAGTTGTGAGGGGCTGTCTTCAGCTGTCGGCGAATTTCGGCCGTAAGCTTGTCTCCTCTGCGAGCGGATTTCGTCCGCAGGTGGATTTGGAATTGACTTAAATTCCAGAAGGGCAATCAGTTCTGATTCGCGGAACATCTCAGCGGCGAATTCGCCATCAGATAGGCTCCGCTTTCGGTGGACCACGTCTTGGCTTGTGCTTACGTCAGCTACGAGGACGTGGGCACGTCGCTCCGTATTGAATGCGGCGTAGTGGGGCTCTTCGTCCTTCGCGCCCGATTCGGGCCGTTGTTAAAGATCGTGCTTAAGAAAAAACCGTTGGATCTTGGCCGTCCAGGTAAGATCCGATTTGTTCGGCCTTACCCTTCAACTGTGTTAGCCTTGAACGGTCTAATCAAGTATTGAGTAACCGCCTAGAGTTCTTAGGGTATTTAACACCCTTACTCTCTATCAAGAGGATCTACAGCCTTTTCATTGTCTTCCCCAGAGTAAACCCAAATTTCCCCTTCCTCATACCCCCGATGGCGCCGAAGGTGAAGAGGGTCGCCTCTAAGAAAAGGAAAGAACCTTCTTCCTCGGGCGCTGCTGAGGCTTCTGCGGCCGAAGGTACTCTTTCGTCCTGGCTCTCGCGCGGGTTGAACAAGTATTCTTCCCTTGACTCCTCTCTATGTTGTTGTGTTTTACAGATCGAGGGGAGGTGCCGACTGCCGAGGAGCCTGCGGCCGAGCCTATCTTGATTTCAGATGACGATTCTGAAGGTCGTGCGACCCCCGTCGCTTCAGAGCGGCGATCGGACGAAAATCGGCTCGCTACCCGTTGCATGCATGAGCTCCGTCTCTTGGAGTCACGCATGATAGGGTTAGAGACCTTGCTACGGGAAGGTCCGGAGGCCAACATGGAGCCTTGCCTGGCTTATGTCAGGCGTCAGGAAGCCCTGGAGCAGGAGACCCGTTCCAAAGAAATAGCGGATTTGGAGTCCGTCGCCAACTTCTGGGTGGGTCAACAACATTTCCTAGAGGAGCAAATTATTGACCTCAATCGCACTATGGCTCGCCTGAGGGCCGAATTGGGATAGGCGGAGGCGAACTTGAAGGGGCTCTAGTCCGACGTTGTAAAGGTCAGTAGGAACGCTGAGGCGGAAACTCGACACCTGCTAGCCTTGTGCCAGGCAGATGCTGCCGCCAGGTCGAGCCGCGAGGACTGGATTCGAAAGGCTGCTGAAAACAAGGCTCGGGAAGACCACGCGAGCAAGGTGGAGGCGGCCAAAGAAGAGATCTCCACTTTTAGCGTGTTCGACTGAGACTTCTGCCTTATGATTGTGTTAAGACATTTTGTTTATGACTTGTTTGTTTATGAAGTCATAACTTTGTTCAAATATATTATCTTAAAAACTGGGTGCATGTTTTGCTTCTTTGAACGTAATGTTACGATTTTTGCTTTTGCAAAAAGACCATAACTTTGTTCAAATGTACTGTCTAGAAGCATCCCATGAGGTTTGTGTTTGCCCATTGTGCATATACTCTTTTGATATGTCACTTTCTAGTGTTTTGCTCTGTAATTGCTGACAATCTCGTGCCGCGGGCAAAGTCTCTTGCATGACGACGAGTCCACTGTCAAAGCCAAACTCTATCCTGATGAGTTTACGCTGGTGGCGAAACTAAAGCGATGGTGAGTTCGTTAGGATGATGAAACTCGGCTCCTGATGATTTCATATTGCTGGCGAAACTCAACTGATTGACGAGTCTGTTTGCAGGCGAGACTCGATCGCGGCGAGTTTTGCTTGGAGGTTGAACTCAGCTGCTGGCGAGTTTATACTGCAGGCGAAACCCACATGGTGGCGAGTTTGGGTTGAAAACCAAACTCAATTGATGGCGAATTTGAGCTGGTGGCGAGTTTGGGTTGAAAACCAAACTCAATTGATGGCGAATTTGAGCTGTAGGCGAAACCCGTATAACGGCGAGTTTACACTACAGGCGAAACTTGGATGGTGGTGAGTTTGTCTAACAGTCAGAAACCCAACTGCGGGCGAAGTTCGTGCCACGCCTCTGTCTGCGGGCCCAAGTGCTTGCCAGCTAAGACTCTGCGGGCACATTAATGCTCATTAATGGTGAAGCGACCGAATGCTTCGCCTCTCGTGCCCAATCCGATCGGTCGGTTTGGGGTCTCGAGAGGAATGGCCTTTATTGGCGTTGAGTTCGAAGCGTCGCAGGACATCTGGGCCGCTCGATCGCTTGGGGTAACAAATCTCAGCCGTTGAGTTCTTTTCGAATATATATCAGTACTCGCCTCTCTTCAGCAGAGTTCTTACTGCTTTGAGAAAAATCTGCTAGGAGAAAACCGCCGCAGTAACTTCCTCTGCTCTATGGCCTCTGCTTCCGACCACAGCGA